AACATAGCATGGAACTGTACTCAATAAATATGGACCCAATAAAGATTATTATTATTAGGTATATATTATTCTCGGTCGACTTATCGTCCTACATCGAGGTCACGATCTGATTCAAATCCAAACTTTGGAAAATGTGTTCAGCCGACACGCTTATGTACTAAGTACATCAACTAGATATATTGTAAGACATGTGTATCAACTTAGTATAAACCGTGAAAAATGATGATCAAATGAAGTGACAGCTTGTGTATAAATCGTAATACCTACGCAAACGATAGTTTTGTGTACCTTTGTGGATACCCATGTAAATGCTTTAGAATTCATTCATTTTCAATGAAATGCCTATATTTTTGGCATTTAATATAATCATTTCATTCATTGCCACATTTGAAAAACTTCGGTGATAAAAAGCCGATGATTTTACATTGCAAATCTTTAGGAATGAAATTTAATAATAGTTCCAGTAAATATAATTAATGCCGGCTCTTTCAGTTTTTGCTAAGTCTTTGTGAAGTAGAAGTGCTGTGATCACGAAGTTTTCTGGGAAGGGTTCCAATAACAAAGCCAATTTTCGCACCTCATTATAATATGAAGTTATTTCCTGTAAAAATACCTTACATAGAAACTATTTAAACTACAAACAACGCAATTCTGTAGCTACCAATCAAAATCATCACTAATTCTAACTTGTAGAAAGACGCTAAATCTTGTTGACACTCTGTTAGTACTGGATATTGAAATTTTTATTCGCTAATGAGTAGCACGTGGTCGTTTTAAAAATACGGCGAGTACGCAACGTGACGTACACAAAATTGTAGGCCAAGGAGAGCTAAAACCAAACGGCTATGCCAATATTCGCTCTGATAGACGTCTGTTAGCCACAATGTGATCGATATGCAATTACCTCCAAAATCATGTTCGCAGCTCGTAAATAAAACCTGCTGATGGAAATAAATGTACATGTTTATAGTACTTACTTCTTGGGTCATAATGCGCATTAAGCGCGAAAATCCCCTGTCAAAAGATTTACACAAGCAAGTTGTCGTAGGGGCCAATTTGTATTTATCTCTATTTACAAACTGTACGAACACTGCAGACACTAATAGAGACGAACACACCTTTTCTTTCTTCAATATGTACCGCTAAAGCTCGAATAGTAAGGAAAATAGTACGGACGATAAATCTTAAGAACTGCGGCTTACCTTCTGAAGAACGACGTCGTGTTGGCACTATGTATCGCTGTCAGATACACTTGGATGAGCGCTTTATTATATTTTACTATCCGTGCTGAGGTACATATATTGCTTTTTAGATAAAGTGAGACCAAAAATAGACGTTAAACGCATTTCGACCACACGGAAAATCGGTTTTTCGACGTTAAAAAAGAATAATTGAACTTCTTTTTGTAATTAATAATGAAAATACCGGTAAAGAATGGATCCACGATTGATTAGACTTCGCTCGATAAAAAACATCATAAAGTTCCGCAAAAAATTTTCACTTTTCATATTCTTTCATACTTTTAGTCTTAATTTGAAGGTTTATTGTTTGTAATTAGTTTCCAATCTGCTCTTTTAACGTCGTGTACCCTTTACTAGACGCAGACGATCGCATCAACAACCATAGATGTGTGACTTGTAAAATACTCATATGCTCGAAAGTTTTTTTAATAATGTAAAACTTGAATGTGTACCAATTGTTCTTTACATGTAGATACTTCGTATTTATCTAAATATTTGTTTTATAGACAATTTAAGTAAGGTAGTACCACAGATATATAAAAAATGGGTAGGACCAAAATTCTGTGTTTTAGAATTTTGATTTGAATTAGGTACAAGTAAAATGTTTTCCTTGTTTTCCAGAATTACGCGGCGTCAACACCGGCGAAGCCTTCATCTGCGCCAGCGCACACGACTCTGCAGCGAACGGTTCGCGGCGCGGCCAACAGCGGCGCGCCTGCGCGTGTTATCCCTCGCTTCCACTTCCCTAAGGGCCGGCCGCCGCCTGCGCACCAACAAGACCATGCAATACATAAAGTGCAGTCTGCTTTTGCCACATTTCCCAACAGTCAGGTAAGGTTGCGATTCCAAAATATATCAGTTGAACGAACTCATCAGTTGCGGGTAATTTGTTTGTATATACAATTATACATTCATGTATATCACAGACTAATGTTGCCCACGAGTTATTTTTTCTTTTAATGCATAATATTATAATTCAAAATGGATGTATATAGGTTGATGTTGCTGAATCGGTACCTGATTTTTTGTATTAATGATAATGAGTCAAAGGCAAACTTGAAATGATTTTAAATTAAGGGCCGGGTTTAAAGTTATTTAGTGTTAAACAATAGTATTTTATGCAATCGTTGCATAATGAGGGTCTAAAGTCGAGTACAATTATTTTGTTTTTATAAAGATTTTTTGTAAGATTTATGGCCCGGTTGCACGACTTTTAGGTCAATTTAACCAATCAGGAGGCAGTATAGCGTTTGAGTAGCGTCCTAATTGATATTTGAGAGCAAAAATACGACGTTCTTTGTTTGAAAGCATAGTAGTTCTGTGTACAGTATTATAATACTCATTATAGTTCTGTTTACAGAACTTTAATGAAATTTTTCAGCTCAGTGGCATAGACAATAAAGTCTTTACGATATGGTTTCTGAAATTATCATTGACAGTTACAGGAGTAGAAATTTTTTTATAGTAATAAGTGACGGGATGAACAAGTGGCGTGGTGGTAAACGCCTGTCCATGACAGTTGCAGTGCCACTCAGAGCTTTAAATCACAAAGATCTTCCTTTATTATATTATATATAAAAAAACAAATTATAACTAGTTACTTACCAGGTTGTGTAATTTTTTTTTATTCCCCATATTTCAGAGTGGTTATATGCGTAATGGTCACGGGTTGACTAGCAAACTGCAACTTTAAGGGCAGATATCGGTCAAATCTCTTTTGTTGTAGACAACTGCCATTTTTTCGACTTCTTTAGGCTGTACCATTGCCACGAATTTTTGTCTCGTAACACCACACGCCCTGTTTCTACACGTGAAACTGAAGTCGAATAATTTTTATTTTTATTATTATTGTAGTAAGCACTGAGCACCGGATTTTATGTGCTGTGCAACTTAAATTTTTACCATTAAACGTTTGGCACATCGTTATTTCTATTTCTTATTGTACAGTACACATCAAACTTAACAACTTCGACTTTGGACCGTTCTTATCGCAAGTAGCTTAGGATTGCATTAAACCTTAAGTATCAAGCTTTATATGTTCTTGACCCTATACCAAATATGGTACATATCACAGAAATCTAATTAGATTTCTGTAGTACATACGTAGTGACATCCCGTCGGAAGTAATGGGGAAGTGGGGTTCGATCTAGTGGTGAGCGTCACTTGTTTATGTGTAATAATACTGTTTTCTTACATTCGTTATTGTGCTCAATGTAGGAAAAATAATAGTATATTTTTTATGCTTGTTAATGTTTTGGCAGTCGTAATCCGAAAAACAAGAAAAATGTGGCATCAGTGGATATGTGGCCGTGACAAATACACACAATATATTAGAGATCGGAATATGGAGCCGGGCTTCAATGGAGACTTGGAAAAACAATATAGTTTGGGTTTGGGCGGCTTCCAAATTTGGCATATTGCCTCACTTGGCCGCCCGGAGTCAATGCAAAATCGGATGAGGACCAGTCTATAGCTTGTTATCAAAATATTTATAATAATAGGGCTGAATAGGGCGCACTCATGAAATTAGGAAAAAGAACCTCAAACCAAGGTGTCTATTGAAGTTTTCTTTGCATAAATTCAATCCATTTTATAGTTTTTGTTTAGTGTAAATATTTTCTATTGAAATACGAATATTTCTATTCATTGAATACCTAAATTATATTGAGAAATTCGGAGCTAACATGGCGTATAATGCAATATTGCGGATCTTCCAACAGGCTAGAGAACTTAATATAACAAAGCAAGAATCGACTTGAACCTGTATTGTTATCAAAATAAATTATATTGTTTGTCATTCCAGGAAAACTGGAACCGCTATTAGAGTTTGGGGAAATGGAAAAGAACCCTGGACCGTGCAGATTTATGGGAATAACCTTTCAACTTGATACATGGCTTTTCGCGTTCAAAGCAATCCATATTATATTAAATAACAGTCCATATTATATACATAGATAGTTAGTATAAAAAATAAGGTACATAATTATCTGCCTCCTAAAATACGTGAAACTCTTATGTAAATGATTTCTCTCCAACGTACTATAAGTACAGAGCTTATATATGACAAAATATAAATAAATAAAAATGTAATTCCACGATGGTTATCTGTAAATATACAACGTTCATCAAAACTCGAAATAGAATTTCAGTTGGGTCGTCAAGGTTTCGTGGATCTGAAATTGGTTTTCTCGTATAAGTTAAAATAAATGTTCTCCATTTCGATAAGATATCTACTTTGGGGATTTTCACGTTCCTTTGGCGGCAACATTAGTATGTCCGACGATAAGACGTGGAGCAAGGGCAATGTAGTACAATAGGTCAGCTATTTTAAGTTACTTTTCCCTATATTGCCTCACATTTATAACTCAAGTTCCCTTCTGGATAAAAGTCCAGCTTTGCAGTGTGATAGAGAGCGCATGGCACCCCTTGCTTAAATTTGTAATTCTACAAAAAAGTTATTCTAGATTACTCCAGGCCTCATTTTGTTTTTTTTATAATATCTTGAAGCTTTTTTGCCTTCACATGAAATAATTTGTATACTGTTAGGCAACCTCTGTTGTTTTATTAAATTTTAATCGAAAAATGTTTTGTGAATTTTCTTTATTGTTTTATCTTTGACAATTTAGAAAAAAATCATGAAGCTAATATACACATACTATAAATCTTTCAACAATCCAAACACATAACTTGTGTGATATATGTACGAGTATATTGTCGGCGCCAAAAACCATTACACACTATAAACCGTTTTAGAAGCCAAATTGCTATGCAGCCAAAACTACAGTATGCCAATAAGGTCTACGCAAGTTTCACTATGTTTCACTTTTGTTTCATTCAGCTTTGGTCATACATGTGTTTTACGCACAACAACTTGCCTTCAATACATTTTATTATATATTTTAGTAGCTGTAGAGCTCCTTGTGAAAGAGTTCGTCCAGTGAGGTACTGCCACCTTACCTATTTCTGCCGCCAGCAGTAATGTCAGTATTACTGTGTTCCGGTTTTGAAGGGTAAGATTGCTGGTGAAATTACTGGCACATGGGATTTGTCAACTTACGTCTCACGGTTACGGGCGCAGTGGCAGTGCCCCTCAGATCTTTGCGATTTAAAGCTCTGAGTGGCACTGCAACTGTTATGGACAGGCGTGCAGGTTACCATCAGACGCACGACTTGTTCGTTCCGTCACTTGGTACTATAAAAAAATATATTATCATAAGAACGGTGTACAATGAAACTAGTATCTCTTTAGTTCCGAGGATTATAATTAAGATTTTTACCTACATCGTACATAATTATATACACAAATTATCGACAACATTCTATTTTGATCTTCATTGTTAGCGAATTGCCCTTTTGAATGATTTTACTGAGTGTAGATGTGGATAATATCGATCGTATTAACCAGAAACACTGAAACTGAAATTGTATTCAGTTACGCAGTCAGCTAGTGTGTGGAATTAACTTTCACCAGTGTCCTTAAACCTTTATAACACATAGTAGTAAATATAATACGTATTAATAGTAACCGACAAATTTGTGCGACAAGTTAAAAGACGCACAAAAATAATTTAGATTTTTTTTATAATATCAAGTGACGGGACGAACAAGTCGTGCGACTGGTTATGAGCTACACGCGTGTCTATAACAGTTGCAGTGCCACTCAGAGCTTTAAATCGCAAAGGACTGATGGGCACTGCCACTGCACCCCTCACTCTGAGACATAAGTTGACAATTTCCATGTGCGTGTCATTTCACCAGCACCCTTACACTTCAAAACCGGACCACAATAACGCTAACATTACTGCTTGGTGGCAGAAATAGGTAAGGTGGCAGTACATCCTGGACGAACTCTTTCACAAGGAGCTCTACTGCTACAAAGATATCTAATAAAACTGTGCAAATAAAACTGATCAGTAAAATGCACTAAATTTAAAAGATACTTAATAATTCCGATAGATGAAAGTGTTTGGGTCACACAGTCACATACAGTCATTTTACTGTCACATTTTCGCTCTCAAATATACCTCACCTGTTAATTGTTAATCAGGTTTTTTACTTATCATAATACCATAATTGTTTATGCAGCAGCTATAAAAATGTAAGCCGAGAAAAGTGAAAAAATGAATTATTTATAAATCAATAAAATTGATAAAAATTTAAAACATGGAATAACATGCGTGCTATAGATTCAGGTGCACTACCTGAAGTTAATTTGTGTTCTTGGTGTAAACTTTCAGTTATGTACGTAGTTGTCTATGGTCTAAACAAAGAGTCAAATGATTGAAGTAGTTGGCAAGACAAGCGCCGACGGAGAAATAATACAGGTTACCCGCGTTGCCAAACTACATCAGGAGAGTGGCGGACCTCGCACCATCGTCATGAAATTATAGAACAAACGCTGGCGCAATGCACTCTTGGCTACCGTCACTAAATCAAACGTGGGCCAGAAAAGCGACGAGAAACTAGGTTCAGGGAATCTCAGTATCGGTCAAAGAACGCCTATATATTTGGTTAAACACCGGACTCACGTTTACCATGAACCACGGGCCAGAAAGAAAGCCAATTACCGGTTAGTCTGAGTATGCTGTAGGAGGGTTTACATACGTAAAAGTAGCGACGGTAAAGATACAGTTATAATTCTATGCACCTCCTTTTTATGTTGATTTTCATGTTTGTTTTCTCTATATGTTTCGGTGGCAATTTGTATTATTAAGAATATTATTATTAAGCATTGTATAATATTGTAGTGTAGTAACTTGAAATATCATTTAATATTTCACGATAATATGCCCGAATACTTAAAACTTAAATAATAAATTAACCATTTATTA